ATCTTGGGAGCTCTGGTAGCATAGTGCCTAAGGCGCTTGACTGCTAACCAGAAGGCTGGCGGTTCAAACCCACCAGCCACTCCTCGGAAGGAAGGTTGGGAAATCCTACTTCCGTAGTGATACTGCCTCGGAAACCCAAGGAGGGGTCACTATGAGTCGGGGCTGACTCGACAGCACATAACAACAACAACAACATCCTTAGAAGCAAGAATAGCCAGACTTCGTCTTACCTACTTTGGTCATGTTGTCAGAAGGGACCACTCCCTGGAGAAGGATGTCATGCTTCGTAAAGTGGAGGGTCACAAAATACATAATTACATGTCTGACAAGTGACTTATCTCTAAAATTTATAGAAAACACCAACACCTCAATGACAAAAAAGATTAATAATCCAATTAAAAAAGGGGAAGGCCCTCAACAAAATGGACTGACACAGTGGCTGCAACAATGGGCTCAGGTGTAGCAAGGATTGTGAGGCTGGTGCAGGACCAGGCAGTGTTTCGTTCTGTTGTCATGGGATCGCTGTGGGACAGAAGTGACTCCACAGCCCTTAGCAACAACACCGCCTCTAGGAGATGACGGAACTGTGCAAAACTTTCTCCTGAGGGAAAAATCTCTTAAGTGTCGTTCATATGAGCCTTTGATCTAAGAAAACGTGTTCAGAATATGTTACTTGAGTCTCTTTCTTGGGTGACGGTAAGAGTTACCAAGATTGCCTGTCTTTGCTGCTCTGCCCCCAGTCAGCTTGAGTTACACTGTCCCAGTCGAACTTCCTCCATTATGAAGCCATCTCATGAAATATCACAGTGCATTCTCCTCAGCAGAGCTAGGGGTTTCTCTTGCTGCTGCTTCTTGTTAGGAGCCTTTGAGTGGCTCTGACTTCAGAGACCCTGTGTACAACAGACTGAAACACTGCCTGATGCTGGTCAGCCTCACGGTCATGCCTACGGTCATGCCTGTCCCCATCGGTCTTCCTTTGGGAGTGCAGATAAATGCTTCATGAATTTAGCAGCAGAATCTTGATTTCCATAAAAATACCTCTAGTCACAAAAATATTAGTAAAAAGCCCTCTGTGTTAACAATACGTTTGCTAGCTTTCCTTCTAAGCTGTTTTTTGGTTTCGTGGACACATATTGCGTATTAATTTACATTCATGATGCTCATCTAAAACCTGTGGCCGTCAGGTCATTGTGAGCTCATGTCGAACATGTAACACAAAACTGCCCCACAGGGTTTCTAAGACTGTCAGTCTTCACAGAAGCAAAGCCCAAACTACATCCACTGCCGTGGAGTCCATTCTGACTCACAGCGCCCCTAGAGGACAGAGTGGAACTGCCCCGCAGGGTCTCCAAGGCTGTCAATCTTCACAGAAGCAAAGCCCAAACCACACCCACTTGCCGTGGAGTGGATTCCGACTCACAGCGCCCCTAGAGGACAGAGTGGAACTGCCCCACAGGGTTTCCAAGGCTGTCAGTCTTCACAGAAGCAAAGCCCAAACCACACCCACTGCCGTGGAGTCCATTCTGACCCACAGCACCCCTAGAGGACAGAGTGGAATTGCCCCACAGGGTTTCCATGGCTGTCAGTCTTTACAGACACAGACTGCCTCATCTTCCATGGAGCAGCTAGTGGGTTCAGAGCACTGACCTTTTGGTTAGCAGCTGAATGCTTTTGCCACTGTGCCACCAGAGCTCCCTTAAACACCAAAAGAACGGGACAAAAAAACAAAAAAAAAAAAGCAGCTAAATGGTGGGGGGCGGGAGATGTCTTTAGTAAGTGTGGGTGAAGACAGAAGGCCTTCTGGAATTGTGCATACTTAGGGTGAATCGGGCATAATAGCCAACATGCCTCTTTAGCCATGAGACCAGAAATGGATGGTGCCTGGCTACTATTACTAAACATTTGTTATCAAAGATTCTATAGAAGAACACTTATCAAAAGGGGGGCAATGTAGAACAGAACTTCACATTCTTTCGAAATCAGACTTTCTGAAACCATTGAAGCTGGATAAACCTCTGTAACTGTTGCCCTGAGATAATCTTAATCCTTGTTGTTGTTGTGTGACATCAAGTCAGACCCGACTCATAGTGACCCCTCCTTGGGTTTCTGAGACAATATCGCTGTGGAAGTAAATTGCCCACCCTTCCTTCCCAGGAGAGCAAGCAGTAAGCTAGCTTACACAGTGAAGAATGTCTGCCTTGAGGACTGTGCTCCTTTAAAGAACTATCTGCTTGAGATCAAATTAACAGCAGCAGCTCAAATTTACACAGGAAGCTTAGAGGGCAGTGAGGTTATGTTCATGGGGAAACATAATAAAAGGGGGGTGGGAATGGTCGCACAACTCGAATAGAATCAGTGTCACTGAACTGAATGTGTGAAAATTGTTAAATTGTTATATGTTCTGTGTATATTTTCAACAACAACAAAAAAGACTGCTGGTCAGGCTGTCTCATAAACTGCTGTTTATTTTTCTAGGAACTATCCCTTCGACATAGTGACATTGTTAAACCTTGTTCTGTTCAAGGCCTCCGACACCAACAGAGAGATTTATGAAATTTCCATGCAGCTCTTGCAGGCACGTATCATCTACCTCCTTCGAAAACTTCCCCTGTTGAGCCCAGAAAATAAAAATGGTAGCTGCTCACCGATTGCTATGCATGTGTTTGCTTCTGCGCATCATTGGTGGCTGTGAGCAATGTGCGTGTCTGCTGTAAACATCAGAATGAACTGATACCTTTCCATTTCGGCCGGGTTAAAACATGCATCCATGCATTTTGTTACTGCTGCACTTCCTGAAGTGTTAGTGCTCCTGAGGCATGCTGCTAAGGTGTTTTCATACTGTTTTCTTGCTCTTTTTAGATCCTCGAAGCAAAGCTTTTTGTGTACTCGAAGAAGGTGGCTGAGCAGAGGCCCGGCAGCATTCTGTATGGAACGCACGGGCCGTTGCCCCCCCTCTACAGCGTGTCTCTGGCCTTCTTGTCCTGTGAACTAGCCAGGATGTACCCTGAGCTCACGCTTCCTCTCTTCTCAGGTACCATGCGATAACGCCGCCTCACCTCCGTCTGTTTCTTCTGATCTGGAAGTAGTGTGTTCCTTCTTAGACACGAGGGCCACTTGAAGTCAAAATGGTGGATGCTGAATTTGTGGATCAGAATTGCTGTGGGCTAAATTAACTGACAGACAGCACTGGTGGCATAATGCTTAAGTGCTTCGCTGTTCACAGAAAGGTCGGTGGTTCAAACCCACACAGTAGCTCCTCAGGAAAAGCGGCTACTGATCTACCTTATGGTGCAGTTCCACTCTGTCCTTTAGGGGTGTTGTGAGTCAGAATCGACTCCATGGCAGTGGGCTTTGCTTCTGGGAAGATTAATAGCCTTGAAGACCCTGTGGGGCAGTTCCACTCTGTCCTCTAGGGACGCTGTGGGTCAGAATCGACTCCATGCAGTGGGTGTGGTTTGGGCTTTGCTTCTGTGAAGATTGACAGCCTTGGACACCCTGTGGTGCAGTT